TGGAGAAACATGGTCGTGGATGCTCAGCGAGGGATTCTCCAGGGGTGCTGGTACCCTCCTGGGGTAGTCTATCATTTAATTCCGCTATCATGTTGATGGGGGGGGGGGGATTTGGGCCTCCGGCCACCTGCACTCACCAGACGAAACGCGGAAGCAGAGCTTCCACTTCACGCCGGTATTCTGTGAGGTCGTGGTACCACCCCGGTTTGAGCCGGCCCATACGTGCGACAGCAAAGCTGCCGCGTGGCTTGTGTGTTGTGGTTCATAATCTAATCCTAATAGCCAATTCTTAATTTTAATTTTCACTTTTCTACTAGTTAAGGGATATATTTGTTAACTTATTAATTTTGTTGCATAAATACATAGCCTTATATGCATGTTGCCGTCTAGCAGAGGCTGTTCGACATGTTATTGGTAAATATACATTTTTTATAACGCGGTTTTGTTATAATCAGTGGCATTATAAATGGTAACCATATGCTGTTTAGTAATTAATTTCAAAATGTACAGTTGCCTCACAGTTAATACTCGACATATCTCATACAATTCTTTAGTGGGAAATCTGTATGGCCTAAAGGTCATGACTTTTAAGAGGGATCTTTGTGCCCTTTCCATGCGGATTAGAAAGGTCTTACAGGCTCCTCCTCAGACGTTTATACAGTACCCTATTACGGACTGAACTAAAGCATAGTAAATTGAACGCAAGAGAGGTAAATCAGCAGCGTATCTTAACTTTTTAAACACCCAAATAAGCTTTCTAGTACGTTCAGTTGTAAGCTCTATGTGTGAGCGCCAGTTAAGTTTGTCATCCAGTATTACACTATTGGATTTAGTAATTGCAAGACATGAACATGGAGGGGTAGTGTTAGTACACGAGTGGACCTTAAGATCAAGGTTTACGGATCCAGTGTTTCCCAAGGAAAACTGCATGTATGTAGTTTTTGAAATATTTAAGGTTAGGAGATTAGCGCCGAACCAATGGCCAACTCTGTGAAGTCCCAGCTGAGCGTTATGTCGAGCCTTATCCCAAGTCTTACCATGGAAGACTAAAGCTGTGTCATCAGCACAGGTAAATATTTTGCCATTTACTAGAGGTTGCTGACATAAATCATTTATATAGATAAGGAAGAGACTAGGTCCTAGAATACTTCCCTGTGGAACGCCACATACGCTCGGGGTTGACATATTCACCCACTTTTACCTGTTATTTACGGTCACATAGGAAGTCCTTAAAATTTAACGCAGGATTAACGCAGGGTGGATGAAATGGCGACAGGTCACAGCCACAACGTGCGATCCCCGAATGCAAATAAGGCTGGAGGGAAAATTTACAAATCGACCATCCGACCTGTCGTCATGTATGAAAGTGAATGCTGGGCCGTCAAGAAGAAGGATGAAAATAGATTGCATGCGAATGAAATGAGAATGTTACGATGGATGTGTGGTGTGACAAGGATGGATAAGATAAGGAATGAGTATATAAGAGGAAGCCTGAAAGTAGCGCCAGTGGTAGAAAAGGTGAGAGGAAGCAGATTGGCATGGTTTGGGCATGTGATGCGGAGGGATGAAAGTCATGTCACAAAACGAGTGTTGAATATGAATGTGGAGGGACACACGGGCAGAGGAAGGCCGAATAAAAGATGGATCGATTGTGTGAAGAGTGATATGAGAATGAAAGGAGTAAGTATGGAAATGACGGCTGATAGAGAGGAATGGAACAAGAAGATTTACTGCGCCGACCCCAGATAATGGGAAATGGTTTTAGAGAATGATGAGGAAGTCCTTAAAAATCATGAGTGCGTTGCCACGAATACCAACGCGTTCTAACTTGCTCACAAGGATAGGAATCGAGACCGTGTCAAATGCCTTGGCTAGGTCGAGGAAAATCCCCAAACATTTTTGCTTTGCATCAACCTTTGATGTTACAAATTCTGTCAATTGAATTACCGCGTCTTCAGTGGACTTCCCCGACCTAAATCCAAATTGTGAAGAAGATATAACTTTATTATGTTCGAAAATTTTTATAAGTCTATAATTTAAAAAATTTTCCAACATTTTAGAGATAGACGAGAGTACTGAAATAGGCCTGTAATTGGACATTTCGTTTCGGGATCCATCCTTATGAACAGGAGTGATCAACGATTTATTAAAAATTTTTGGAAAGATTCCTTGCGCATAACAGAGCTCAATAAGAAGTTTAGTCAAAGGTAGAACTACCAGATGTACTGATAATTTGAGAAGTTGCACAAGTATAGAGTCACGTCCAGTAGCAGAGTTATTTTTTAAGCTTCTAATAATTGATTCTACCTCTCACTTATCCGGTGGAAGTAGCACACAAGAGTTAGGAACTGATGGAATTGTGAAATTATATTGAGAGCTATTTTGATTTGAAATATTTGCAGCGTCAGCTAGTTTTTTAACGATATTAGGGAAGTATTTATTTATGTTTTCTACATCACGAACAGCATTTTTATTAGAACTCAAAAGGTTATCAGCACTCGTCTTTTGTTTTGTGTAATTTATTATAGTTTTAATTGAATTCCAGGTATCTTTATTAGTTTTCGCATTACGTAGTAGTGACTTTTAGTAGTTTCGTTTAAGATTTCTCAACAGTTACAATAATTTCGGTAACGCTTATAAGTGATTTCAAAAATTTTATTTACAGGACTTTTTTTTAAGTTTACGATGGAGTTTGTCTCTGTGTCGAATACAACGTAAAAGAAGAAGAGTTAGCCATGGTTTTAGCGTCCTTTGTTAATTAGGGACACGATAGGAATCAGAGTGAAGTGAAATTGCACTAGCCAACTTTTCTACAAGAGTTAATGTGGCTTCATTTGCAACAGATGAAGTGTTTATAAATGTAAAGTCCACCGTCTCTAAATATTTTAAACAAGCATCATAGTTGACTCTATTAAAAAGCTTTGGTTCTTTTGGTCTTTGCTGGCCAGGGCAAATGCTGAGTGGGATTGAAGAATGGTCTGTTATAGTACTATTAATCACAAATACTGATTCTGCCAAACTAGTTTTCAGCATGACATGATCTAGACAGCTGTGTAACCAAGTAGGATAAATGTGACCTGGAAGCAAATCTAGCTCCGCTGTTAGATGTAGGCACGCTTCACTTCTTCGATCGTTGTTATTAACTTTAATATTAATATTAATATCACCAATTAGTTTCAAGTTTTTAGTTGGGTCCAGTGGCCGAACTATATTTTACATAGAATTCAAAAAACTGTCAATACACTGAGTCGACGGAGATCTGTAAGAAGCTAAAATGAAAATGTCGGGTTCAATAATTTTAATAGATATGAAATTAGCACCTAATGGCTCGGGTTCTTTTATTGTACATTTAATACCTGTTTTAACATATATCACTATACCGTCGTTTTGATTGAGACATTTGTGCGTATAGTACATATTGTAATTTTAAAATTGAGGGATTTGTTTACGGGTACTCAGCCAGCATTCTCAACTATTTCAACATCATTGATTTGTAGCACGAATGGGTCGGCTCGACCGGGGAAGGACCACGCTCTCACAGACCCTTTTTACTGGAAAAGAGGCATTCCATTTTAGTCCTCACGGGTGACAACATATCTGAATTTTGATTCGTAATCGAGGATAGATGTTTATGGGCCACAGCAACCACTTACCATTAGGTGCACTGTGTGCTCGTTTGTCACCCTATGTTATAAAAAAAGTCCGTACATTTTCGTTTAAAGGGACCAATACCAGACTTATTGTCTCTATCCGGTGATTCTGAATCCACCCCCTTTACGTCCACTATTTTAATTACGAATACATCCTACACCGTTAAACGAGCAATTCTTGTATATATGTATATATATAATCGGAATCTCGGAATCGGCTCCAACGATTTTCATAAAATTTAGTGTCTAGGGAGTTTCGGGGACAATAAATCGATCTAGCTAGCATTTATTTTTAGAATACGTCCTTTTGTCCGTGTTTTCAGGCAATAAAAAAACTGCTACAATATAAGAAGGTAAATTTCGACAGATCACTACCGATCGTCATAGCTCAGGTGGGATGTCGGTCGGGCGAGATGTCGGAGTTTCGTGGTTCGCGTCCTGTCTCTGGTCTAGCTTTTTTCCTTTTTTTTCAAGTTCCCTTCTTTTGTGAGAAAATTAAAAAATCTATTATTTCAAGCCCTTTTTTAGTAATTTTTAAAAATACGAAAATTTTAATAAAACTAATTGCACTCATGATTTTTTATTCAAATAATCAGTTCAATTTTTTCTATTCTGTCAATAAGATCAAAAAATATTATTTAAGTTTCATCAGTATGTAATTTATAAATGTAATTTCAAAAAAAACCGAGCTTTGCTCGGTTTTTTTTGAAAGTGCTCAAACTGATATGTACGTTATCCGGGTACTAATATTAACTGCCGTTACTTTCCAACTAATAAGAAATGAACAACACAACCCAAATTTATATAATGACTAACACAGAAGACATTAAAAATATTAACAAAGCTCAACACAAAATAATTAAAATATATCCGAAAATCGCGCGTGTGACTACCAATCACTCTGACAGAAGAATCGTTTGTTGCAGTTGAAATTGTAGCGCTTTTTTACTTTTAGTTTTCGTTAAAATACCCACGCCATTTCTGAACTAGAGAAAGATTGAAAATAATAAAAAATAAGTTATTATATTTGAAATATTGGATGTATTAAATTAGTATATTAATATGTACTACGTATATGGTCTATGCCAAATTTATTTTGGTTTTCTAGAAATTACGAGATTATGAAATTATCAAGAGGCGGATAAGAATTATTAAGAGGCATGGCAGAGACGTGGGGAAATACACATTAAATAAAATACAATAAAATATAAAATTAAAAAATGTATTCCTTATATTTAATTGACGTGACAACCATACTTAATTAATTACATTACTTTCAAAAATGCTTGCCTTAAAATAATTTAAACTCTACATACAGTACAACAGTAATAGTCAACATATGTTACATTATCAATCGTCTAGTAATGGCACTATGTAGAACTCTGAGAACATCTGCTTTTGGTCCTCTTTTTCCAGTTTGAGCTGGAGAAGCAAAAGTCCATTGGAACTGAACCGCAAAACAACCTGCGAGGAAAACGGACGAAATTCATTGTTAAACACCGTAAGGCATTCCGTCTTAATTCTAAGACGTAACTACTCTTCTTAGACATTTTTGTTTGAAGATGGTTACAAGCGACCATGAACTGCAGTAGCCACAAAAAAACATAAAATTTTGGGCTGCGTAAGTATATCCATGATTCTATTCCCAAATAGTGTAATAAGTATATAGTATAGTAGTAAGTTATGAGTATAGGTACCATAAGAAACCCGTTTCCGTCCCCATAATATCGTAAAGGTCGACTGAGGGCGTTACCACACCAATCGATCGATCGTCAATAGATGGCATCGATCTATGGTGGAATGGATTAATCGACGTCGATCGATCGATCGGTCGCACCACCGACAAATGTCACAAATTAAAATGTCGTCTAAAGTCGTATTTTTAATTGAACGAAGTTGCCTGACAGATGCTAATGTCATTTTGTGAAATAATGTTGCCAGGTTCATTGTAATATAAGTCAGTAACTGACTGAACGCATCACTATTATATTTTATTTATTTATTTATTTACACTTTATTGCACCATAAAAAGATTACAAAGGGCGGACTTAATGCCATTAGGCATTCTCTCCCAGTCAACCCGGGACGTGTGGAAATTATGTGATAGGTGACAAAATAAAATGAACAATAGAGTAAATCAAGGAAAACAACTACTGATAAACTTAAAAACAAACTAATATTATATATACAAATACAATAAACTTATATACTCCTAAATATAATACAGATAATATATAATATATACATACATATTCATAGATACATAAATATATACATATTTTAAATACAAATAGATATATAATATAAACCTATAAATAAAATAACAACAAAGGTAACCAAAATTAACCATATTAACTATCATCTAATATTTTCATAAAATGCTTATGTACCAATCTTTTAAAGGCAATCTTATTAGATGTTTTTCTGACGTTATCGGGCAAGGAGTTCCAGAGCAGTGCAGCCTGAATTGTGAAGGATTTACCAATAAAATTAGTAGAATGTAGAGGGATACTTAGTTTATTATTATATGAGGAACGCAGAGTTCTATCATGCGTTAGGGAAATATATTGAAATTTCTCCTTGAGATAAGAAGGAGTGGTTGGATCATTTAAGATAGAGAAGAGAACAAGCAAAATTCTAGAGTCACGCCTCTGTTTAATAGTGAGCCATTTTAGGCGAGAGCGATAGTGAGAAATATGATCAAATTTGCGGAGATTGAAAATGTATCTGACGCAGTTGTTGAGAAGGCGCTCTAGCTTGTTGAGAAGATTTTGGTTTAAATCCGGGTAACACACATCTGCATAATCAATGATTGGTAGTATAAGTAACTGTACAAGCATAATTTTAGTCTTAAAGGGGAGAAAATTTTTCAATCGATAAAGAGAACGTAAAGAACCAGAGACTTTACGACATGTTTCGGAGATATGAACCCCCCAGGACAGAGTACTATCAAAATGGAGACCAAGATTTTTAACTGAGGGAGAGAACGGTATCAGACGATCATTATAATAGACGGGAGGTAGACTAGCCGCATCTATTTTAGCAAGCATCCTTGAGCTACCCACAATCATCGCTTGGCATTTCGTAAGGTTGACAGACACTCCAAAACGCATAGACCAATCACAGACTGACTTGAGATTTGAATTCAATTTGTTGATCGCATAATGGATGTCAGAAATGTCAGACTGTACATAAATTTGTAGGTCATCAGCATACAGATGGTACGAACAATCAATATTAGATGTGATGGAATTAATAAAAATAGAGAAGATTAATGGAGAAAGTATACCGCCTTGCGGTACGCCAGAAATCAGGTCAACCCACTGTGAAGTCACTTGCTCCACGTGGACAGACTGTTGACGTCCGCGAAGATAAGATGAGAACCATTCCAGGACTGGCGGTGCAAACCTATAATAAGAAAGGATAGCAAGAAGGATATCATGGTCAACTGTGTTAAAAGCATTGGAAAAGTCAACGAGCACCACAACTGTAACTTTCTTGTTTTCCATTCCTTCTCTAATGTCTTCAGTTATTTTAAGTAAGGCAGTTGTAGTGCTGTGACCAGGACGAAAGCCGGACTGAAAAGTACTCAGCAGGTTATGTTTATATATGAAATTGGAAATTTGCTTATGAACACAGGCTTCCAAAACTTTAGATAGGAAAGGTAAAACCGATATGGGACGGAAGTGATTGGGAAGTGTTGGATTGGATACTTTAGGAAGGGGTCTAACGAAAGCATTTTTCCACTGACTCGGAAACTGACCCGAGTCAAGCGAAAAATTAACAATATGTGTGATTGCGGAGATAATGTGTTCTAGAATATTAAGAATCATGGCTCTGCTAATATCATCGCAACCGACAGCCTTGGATTTTATTGCCAGAAGGATCTTTCTGATTTCATCCTGATCTACAGGGTTAAAAAGAAAGACTGGTATGTGTGGAGACGGAATTGAGGCTATGTAAGCGACTGTTTGGGATCGGATTGAAAGGTCCAATGCAGAAGCAGAAGCAAAATGAAGATTTAAAGCATCGTGAGAAAGCGATAAACCACAATCCAAAGAGGGTGTTTTGCCCACACCTAGAGAACTAAGAAATTTCCACACATCAGCTGGCGAAGAATTACTTATATTGCTATGGATAAATCGGCGTTTTGCAGAACGTACCATCTGATTGCATCTGTTTCTGGCCTTCTTAAAAGACAACCAGTTTTCCTCAGATCTGCTCCTCTTGAACCGGGCAAATGCTCGATTTCGCCTAGTCATGGCCTTCCGTACCTCTTCAGTTATCCAGGGAGCTGGTGGCCGTCGTAGTTTCACTTTACGTACAGGAGCATGGATATCATACAAAACATGAATTATGTTATTGAAAATAGTTACTTTATCATCTACTGTTGATGCAGTTGCTAATGGCGTAAAATCTATAAGCGATGCGTCTTTCAAAAGCTTATCCATATTAATTCTACTAAAATTACGTAGGAATAGTACAGTAGGTCGATATTTGGGAGGTTTTAGGTTGTATGATACATAAATAAGATCATGGCGGGAAAATCCCGGCGCTTCAAGTTGCCCATATGACAGCACCCTGTCAGAGGGGTCAGTTATAATGAGATCAATTAGAGAGTCATCAGTGTCTATATTATGATGAGTTGCCTTTAAAGGAAGAATGTTGAGATTGACAGACTCAATGATTTTACGAAGCTTTTGAGACCGGACTGAATTTTTCAGTAAATCCGTGTTGAAATCTCCCATGATTATGCAGTGGGTGTACTCAGAACCAATGTTATCAAGAGCCTCTTCTAAATTGGCGAAGTAATCAGTGGAAGGAGGACAATACACTGCTCCAAGAATCATCCTTGAGCCCTTTACATCAAGTTCTATAAAAAGAAATTCTGCGGAAGCAGTGTAAGGAGAAGGGGATGCTAATATGATTTTGTAGGAGATAGTAGCGTGGAGATATATTGCAACCCCACCTCCTCCTTTATCTATACGATCATTCCTAATCAGCACAAACCCAGGAAGAGGATACAATGCCGAATTTAAAGACGGTTTCAACCAAGTTTCTGAAACTAAGATAGCATGTATATTGTTGTTAGAGAACGATGCTTCTAGCTCAGAAAAGTGGCTGGGAATGCTTTGTGCGTTAATATGGCAAACATTTAACGTTCTATCAAAAAAGTGAAAAATGCTATTCAATTGGCTACTTAAAGAGGGCACACTATAATTCATCTGATCGTCAAACGATTCAAAAGAACTCTCTGACTCAATAGAATAAAAAGAGTCAGAGTCAGACATGATAAGTTAAAAGCATAATATACCCAATATAAAAATAAATAAAATAAAAATATATAAAAATACGATATTAAATAAAAATATTTGTCAATAATATATATAACAAAAATACTACCAAGATATAAAAAAAACAATGACCTAAATAGTAATAAATCATTAAACATCATCCCACCAGTTAACTGTTTACATAATATAATCAGTACTAAATAACAAATAAAACAATTGTACATAACTATCAATTAAAAAAAAAACATAAGCTAAGTAATTAAATAGCGTGCCAACACAGTGATTCAATTATAAACAAAAATAACATAAATATTAAAATAAGACAACTAAATATTTTAATAGCAGGGCTTTACAGAATTAATCGAAAAATTTGCAATAAAAATCAGCTTAATCACAAGATTTTGAAACCCAATTAGATCCAGAAAATTTAAATCTCACAAGAGTACATAATTCAGCTGTGTGGCAAAAGGATCTGTGCCCATGTTACCATTACTGTGTTGACAGTAAAAGTTATTATCTATGGTCAACAGTCTTTGCCCTGTCTTTGCAACTGTCTATGCCTAGCTCTAGCATCTACGGAGTACAATAACATTTATCTATGATAATTGGTTACATTTTAACACTTTTACATGATAAAAATTATAAACACAAACTAATTTACTAAAGTTTACAAATATAATTAAAGTTACTACAGTATAACAATAAAATAATAAAACTAGCTAATAACATAAAACTATTGGAATATGAATAAAGGAAAATACTAAAGACAAGTTATAGCAAATTAGTTACATACAATTGGACTACAATCGATTTATATTCTTGTCTAATGCTGCCGGTTAATAAAACTAAAAATAGTTATTATGTTACCAGACAAAGTAGACTATAATAAAAAATGCGAAAGGAGATGAACATAACCAAAATATGATAACAAGAATAACAAGGATATCTTGGAAAGTTAATAGCAATGTAGGAATTACTTCTTGCCTACCAGTCGTCTAGATCTCTTTACGTCATCAATTTGAGTTACCGCTGAAGTTTGAGTGCGACGTGCTGCATCATTTTGCCGATTCGAAGAGCTCTGCTGCGCTGGGGTGACCTTTGTATTAGGAGCCTTGTTAGAACTCTCAGGGGAACCATCCATGGGGTACTTGGCTATTAGATCGTCCAATTCCTCCTCAGTGGAAATCTTCGTTCGGCCTCCCGAGTGCTTTACATAGATTGCACCATCAATTGTCCAGACATTTCTAATTCCGAAATGCTTACGGGCATTCTTATGTATGGACTGACGAAATTTAGTGAGGAATTCACACATTGAAATGGCAGACCCTTTAAACTTTGATTTTAAATTCCAAATCGCAGACTTAGTGCTATGATCATTAAAGAGCACAAGAATTGGCCTTGGACGGGTACTGGATTGAACACCAAGTCTGTGGCATTTCTTGAGAAAGTCATCAGTAATATGAGTTAAACCCAGATACTTGTGCAACAGTTGTAAAATTTGCTGTTTTAGGTCAACTTCAGAAGCCTCAGCTAATCCATGAAAAAGCAGAACTTTTCTCCGGTGATACATACTGATTGCATCAACACTTTTGTTGCATTCCTGAATTTGCTGTTGCAGCAGGCTAAACATGGAACTAACAAGTACCTTGAATGAATCAAACTCCTCCCGAAGCTGTGAAACTGTTGGGTTAGTTGGAGTAGTTGCAGCCTTCAGACGTTTCTCAAACTCCATCATCTTCCTGGTCAAGCTCCCTTCCAATTCCTTTTGGATATTCAAAACTTCAGAGACATTTGCCATTGTAGTAAAGTGAATTAACCGAGGAGAGATAGAAAAATAGTAATTTATATTTAGTGTGACAGAGGTTATGGAGGGAAGATGAATATAAATATTTTAACTAGATTAAATGCACATTCCTATAATTGATAATAATGCTAAAACTTATTCTTCCAAATTGGAGTAAAAAATTAAGCAGCTAAGTTAATTATACTTACTTTTAAATGTAAATAAAACACAAGAGATAATTTCAGCTGTTATCTGTTTTGCACCTACCCTCGAAAAAAAAAACTTATTATATATAGATGACTTGATGATTATGACTAAAATTAAATTAACCTATCTTGATTGACATTGTGAAACTTGTTGTCTTGTCATTTATTCGGCTTCTGACCTCTGGTCTGATTGCTCGAATATTTTCTCTGTCGCGCTGTTCTCCTGTTGCTTTTCTTTAGTTTCTTGTTAAGTTTTTTGTTACGTTGTGTTTGTGTTGTTTGTTATTGTTGAGTTATTGTGTTTTTATATTGTTTCGTACAAACGATATGGAACCTCAACCAAGCACGTCGAGTAAAAGCTCTCTTTTCCCAAAAAAGAAGAGACCACGGGCTACTCTTAGCGTTACCAAAAAGCTATTGGTACGCAATGTCTACAAATACGTATTTGAGCAGGAAACTGCTTCGGTATTTCCTACTGAAGTATCGGAAAAAATGTGTTTCTAAGACAGCTGAAATTTTGGGAATCGGTATGACCACAGTTTTCAGTGTATAAAAAGAATACAAACAAAACGAGCAATGTAAGTCTCCTGAAAAATTTAGACAGAAACATAATTTCAAGAATAAATTTGACAATTTCACCTTAGCGACTATAAGGCGAAAAGAACACTAATATTTTTATGCAAATGAGCCACCCACCATTGCAAAGGTAACTTTAGTGTTATTTTTTTACATCTTTGCGTGCGGCGCTATGTGTGCGTAAAGCTTGTTATAGATACAGTGTGCGTGACGACGACTGTCGCGTCACTATCACACAAATCAAAGCTGCATATTTACACGCTCACACACACATAGCGTTTTTGAGGTTCTATTTTACTTTTTTCTACTGCGTAGACTTTCTTACCCATAATCTGTTTAAATTACAGATTCTAGTGCGGTTGCACAATCCAGTCCGCAGCAAAGGGAAATCTCCTAAGCTTCAAGCTAAATGAGACGGCCCGTACCGGAATGTGACAAAGACCAATGACGTAACCTACCGGATACAAAAAGTTGCAAGAGGTACTCCCAAAATAGTCCATGTGGATCGACTGGAGCGTTATTATGGGGCCGATAATGCACGGGACGAGCATGTCTTAGGAGCGGGCAGTGTTGCGCGCCACAGTTGATGCCTGGTATATGGCATTAGCGCCATCTAGTATCAAGGAGCAGAAATAGGAGTGTCAAGATCTTTCTAGAACTCTCCCACTAGCGCAATCTGGTGTCGAATAGATGAACTAAATTTTCTAGAAAACTCCACACTAGAATTTTCTACACCTAGTGGGTCGGGACCGGTATTTGCTGGAACATTCTAGATGTTTCGGTGGAAAAGGTTTCGGTAAATAAAGTCGTAAGGCCGCGATCGAGGCAGTATTGAATTGGCGACACAAGCAAATACTTCGGAGCGAAATACGAGTATAGTGAACTGACGTGTTAAGTGTGATTAATTATGATTGTGTTTTAAATTTTAATTGGTGTCGGTAATTAAAGTGACAATTTTGGTAATTCCATTGGCAGTTTTTATCGTCACGAACCCCTAAGCTCGTAACAACCTGGATCAACGAAGGTAATTAAAATTTTCTCTTATTTATTAATCAATTACAGTGTAGGTATTGTATGCCACCGGTGAATTTAATGAGTAATTGGTATTTTTTATTTTCTCGAAGGTCATACACCGAAGAAGCAATGTATTGACCAGACTACAATCGTCCCGGCAGGCATTCTTAGAAAGGTTGAAATCCGGCTTGAAAGCGCCTTCAGGAAAAGACAAACGGCAAATTATTAGCCATATAGGTGGGGAAGAAGGATTTGTAGAAGTTAGCTTACTTGTGTTTGAGGATAAAAAAGGAAAAGAAGATTACCATCAAGAGATGAATGCTGAGTGTTTTGAGGAGTGGTTTAGTGGGGTTTTGCCCAAACTAAAACCTAATCCCGTAGTGGTGATGGATGTCTAGGATGAAGGTAGTAGGAATGATATGCCCCAATCACTCCAGAAAGTTAGAATCGCTGCCTACAATGTCTTGGAATAAACCAAGAATACAAGAGTGGATGGCGAGCAAAAATATCCCATTCGAGGCACAAACGGTAAAATAATTAATAGAATCAGGCGTTACTTTGCGGAAATTCATTATAATAAAGATATTAATAGTTATTCTGCATTATTTTGACGGTCAGCCGCCGTAGAGTCAACATCTACTGCAGATGCCTCGTGTAGAGGCGAAACACGTGTCGTATTATCGTCGATGGTGTGTCTTTCCTAGAATAGTGGCGTTGGGAGTAGTGGTGCTGGGATTGGTGGCGACAGGATTAGTGCACGCAATTGAGGGAGGGCGGGAGGTGCTCTTCAAACTAGGAAAGGCACATCATTTTATTTAATGGTAAAAGCTACTCTTATAGACATTATACGGTAGCACAAACATGAACACTGCGACAAGTATGCCGTGGACGAGATGGTAGCGGAGCGTGGGTCCACTGTTTTACATTTGCCCCCTTACCATTTTGAGCTCAATCCCATAGAGCTGATTTGGGTACAGGCCAAAGGCTAAGTTGCAAGAAACAACAAGACCTTCAAAATGAAATATTTAAAAAAACTTTTCGAAGAAGGAATAAATGAAGTGACTGCCGAAAAATGGAGTAGCTGCGTGGCTCACATAATAAAAGAAGAAGACAAAATGTTTAATCTCGATCACATGATCGATAGTGTCTCAGACGAGTTTATAATAAATCTGACAGTGACATTGATGATATTATATCTGATGACGATGAATAAAAAATCTAATACTTGAGCATAGTTTTTTTTATGAAATCTCTATGACGACATACACTATGGATAATTTTTGCCTGATGAACTGACAACATGGATGTATCTTAAATAAATTGTGACGTAGTTTAAAACGTTTAGTTAATTTTTTTATCAGTCAGTCATTTTGTTTTCCGTTAAGTCATTTAGTCACAACTATTATTTGATTTATCAAAACCTGACAACCCAGTACACGTCAGACAGCTTCGTTTAATTAAAAATTCGACTTTAGATGAATTTAGCTGTTTCTGACTTAATATTATAGTTTTTTTTTGTTCTTCTTCTAAATACATTTTGAAATACTGATGAGAACAAAGGTATTAGTAAATGATGTTCAATAGCAGCGATCGTCGATCAAGATTCCTGTGGCCTCCGACAGATGGCGGTATAGACCTATCCAATATAAGACAAATTAAAAATTTTATGGCATGACCGGGAATTAGGGCAGGTTCCAAAGCTTTTTTTAACTTCTCAAACACCAAGCGGCCAAATTTGACCGCTTCGATATTCCGTCAAAATTCAAGCGGTCACATATGACCGCACCCACCCACAGCACTTTAATCCATAAAAACTTATATATAGAGATTACTTTTCTATGAAGAAATTTAGCATTATAGAATTAATATGAAATTTTCTATGTTCTAGTGCAATAAAAACTTAGTTATCCTAAAGATATTTATTTATAATCTATGTTCATTTCGTACGCCATTTTCGTGTGAATGCTGTTGTGTTGATTTTTGGAATTTTCTAGTGTTTTAGTATAGTGTTTTATTAAAAAATTGTAATGAAAGTTTTTGTGTGCATATAATTTATCTTTTTACGTAAATAATTTCGAGTAATATATATTGAAATAACTGTGATTTTCACGCCGCCAACATTCGCCTGGTATGTTTTGTTTTTGTTATCAAAATACAATGTTATCTTGTAATGAAGTAAAACCTGACTTTTATATAGAGAATTTTGTATAAATTTTGTAATGCCAAACTTCTTCATAGAAAAGTAGTCTCCAAATAAAAGTTTTAATGGTTTTAAGTGCTGCGGGTGGGTGCCGTCGCATGCGACCGCTCGGGATTTGCCGGGCGCATGCGACTGCATGGGAATTTTAAGGAGACTGAGGAGTTAAGACTAATTTACTGTCCACCTGATGGGGTCATTGGACACCTGCAGTCATTTGAGTCTAGTGAGGACTAAGATGGAACACTATTGCATATTTTTGTATACATTCACACATTTGTACCATTCATTGTATATTCTGTATGATGTGCAGGAAAAAATAAATAAATATAATCGTATGCAGATCCATACCTTTGTTGATAAAGCAAGCGCCTTCATAATAAGGCGTATATGATTCAGTTGGTACTTTAACGTGATCGGCTCTTCGCAGCTAAAACTTTGCACCATATCTGAAGATTTTGGTACGTCAATACAGGAACGATCCTATAAAATATTTTATATTTTACTTTGTAATCCTGGAGATTGGCGTGCAATTTCATCATCCTATTTCGTCCCGTGGCTATCGTAATAGGAGACTAGGAAAATATTATAGCTTCCGATAGATGGTATATATCTTTACAAATGGGAGGAAGGATTTGTTTAAATAAATAAAATACCCTAAAACGAGACTGGGTGCGCTCGGCAACCCTGCTAAGACTGATTTGTATTCACAATTGTGAAGTAAATTACATCAAGCAATGGTGATAAATAGTAATCCATCATCGACAAAATGTTAAAATTGCGAATATCTATTCATTAAAATACAATTTGAAATATTATATGCTAGTGAATTTAATACAATAATGTTTAAAAAATAACATGCACTATAATAAAAATAACTGTACGGTATTATTCGTTTTATCCGGATAGTAAAACTAATGATATCCGGGTATTATATTCGACGGGTATCCAGATAATGTGGATATCCAATTAGTAGGCATATCCTCCCTACAGTGGGAAAGGGTCATATCCAATAGTGGACATCTAAAAGCTGACAAATAAGAAGAATATCCTGGTTTTTAATAATAAAAAATAACAAATGAGTTAATATCTTCCTCTTACTAGGGTGGCATGTTGTATTCACAAGACTGAATTTCGGTCATGGCGGATGGATAGTCGGAACGGACACTAACTAGCTGCGCATGGCTGAATTATAGTGCATGAGTGCGTGTATACATACAGGTGCACTCTGTATTCCCTCACTCTCATAGTTCGATGCGACGGCAATCCGACACGACTAGAGAGAGATCAAGCGCAGGACCAACTTTAAGCTCTTTCTGAGGCACGAGGGTGAAACGCCGCCACCGTCACCCTGACTGCAGACTGCTTCTAAGAATTTCATGACAGAAAAACCCGGCAGCTGATTTCTCCCGACTCGGGACCACATGATTACCAGTTGTGCTTACAACCAATGAGGCAGTTAAAAAATAAATTTGCTAACAAGTGTACTAAATTCGTTTGTCATTTGTTTTTACAAAATGGCGGTAATTTGAAAACTATGTATAGAGCGTCAAGATATTTTTTGTAAGTCAGTGACAAGCGAACCATATAGTCCACCTGCAACCGTCATCATCATCATTACAGCCCTTCACAAGTCCACTGGTGAACATAGGCCTCCCCCAAGTAATGCCACAAAGCACGGTCATGAGCCACCTGCATCCATCGACTTTCTGCATGTCTTACCAGGTCGTCACTCCATCTAGTGGGGGGTCGCCCTACACTACGCCTACCGGTACGAGGCTGCCATTCGAGAACCTTTCTTCCTCATCCGTTATCGGTTCTTCGAGCTATATGGCCGGCCCATTGCCACTTCAGCTTACTAATCCGTTGGGCTATGTCGGTCAATCTCGTTTTAATGCGGATATCCTCATTTCTGAGTCTATCACGCAGAGAAACTCTGAGCATAGCCCTCTCCATAGCTCGCTGAGCGACCTTGAGCGTCCTCATACGGCCAGCAGTGAAGGACCACGTCTCAGATCCGTAAGTCATCACTGTCAACACGCACTGGTTGTACACTTTATTGATTGTACAATCTAGTTTTTAGAGATTGAGGTATACCTGACGAGAAGATATATCGTAATTCCCCGAACGCTGCCCAGCCGAGTTGAATCCGTCGATTGACCTCTCGGTCGAAGTTGGACTTACCTAGTCGGACTATTTGTCCCAGGTAAACGTACTCGTCAACAACTTCGAGCATAGTGCTCCCAACAACTACCGGCATAGGTGTGACATAGACATTGAACATGATCTTTGTTTTGTCCATGTTCATCTTAAGACCTATCCGTTGGGAGACACCATTGAGGTCATTGAGCATAGTGCTAAGGTCCTCCAGCGATTCTGCCATAAGGACTATATCGTCGGCAAATCGAAGGTGAGTGATGTACTCGCCATTGATGTTAATACCGTATCCTTTCCAGTCCAGTAGCTTGAAAACGTCTTCCAACGCAGCGGTGAAGAGTTTCGGGGATATAACGTCACCCTGTCTTACACCTCTCTGCAGTTGGATAGGTTTCGAACTCTGGTTCTGTACTCGGATAGCCATCGTAGCCCAACTGTACAAACACTTCAGCACTTCGATATACCGACAGTCAACTTCGCACCGCTGAAGGGACTGTAGCACCGCCCAAATTTCGATGGAATCAAAGGCTTTCTCGTAGTCCACATACACCAGGCAAAGTGGCAGATTGTACTCTTCGGTCTTCTGTACAATCTGCCGCATGGTATGTATGTGGTCTATGTGGTACTGAAGCCTTTTCGGAAACCGGTTTGTTCAGGAGGCTGGAAGCCGTCGAGTCTGCGTGCGAGACGATTCGTAATGACTCTCGAAAACAATACGTAAACGCGGCTCAGAAGAGAAATCGGTCTGTAGTCCTTCAAGAGAGCGTTGTCGCCTTTCTTAAAGAACAAGACCACCGCGCTTCTGCTCCACGCCTCCGGAGTAGTGCCACCATGGAGGACGGAATTGAACAGCTTCTGAAGGACTTCAAGTACCGGTGTCCCACCCGCTTTCAGAAGCTCCGCTGTAATTCCATCCTCGCCCGGGGCCTTGACGTTTTTAAGGTGGTGGAGAGCCATTCTAATCTCGCTCAGACTGACGTCCGGGGTATCATCGGAACTGTACATGCCATGAACTTGCAAACAACACAAATAAAAAGGCTACAGATGTGTCGTCACCACTGACTAAGATGTAAGCCTCAAAGCCCGTAATTATACTGGCCCTTTATACCCCTCAGATTGGTATATCGCAGTGCAAGTGCTGGCGGCAGAAGTAGGCAAGACCGTGGTACCTACCCAGCGTAGACTCCTAAAGTGAGTCCTAGTCACCTACACTGGCAGTTACTTACACACACTATTGATAAAAAGTGTATAGTGGAACTATCCTCCACAGAAAACTGGCTGAATGGCCATATAGATAGATCTAAAATGGGCCTCGATGTAGGCTTTCTAATTTATAGGGAACGCCCCAAATTCAAACTAAGTACGAATTTGGGTAGAATCACCTCTATCTTCCAGAAATTTTCGCCAGTGTGCGGAAATCAATCTGCAAGAACACTATGTCAACCATATAACTTATATAAACTCTGATAGTCAAGCATCACTGCTAGCGCTGAGGTAAAACTTAGTGAACTCGAAGTTAGTTGGAGACTTCGTGAACAGTTCAAACGCCCTGGGATGTAACAACACGGTTGTCTTAAGATGGGTTTCGAGGTCACGCGGGTATTGTAAGCAATTAATGTATACAATTTGGACCTGAGCCATTTAGTGGAATCTCAAGAAGCCTAGCCCGATTGACCCTTGAAACTCTTAATCATAATAAATCACTTAAAATCTGGTCATCACCAGGCTTAAAACATTCTAAAACCTTAATCCGGGTTTTTGATCGTAAATTAGCTTCAGAAGCCCTGGGAATAAGTAAAAATAAATTGCGCATTCTGGCAAGAGCTCTAATTGGACACTGTTGTCTTAAAAAGCACATGTCCATCCTGGGACTAAGCAACTCAAGGATGTATCGGGTCTGTTCCATAATGGAAGAAACGCCTCTGCACATCCAACTGATTGCGGGCCCTTAATGCACAAACGTAACACTCATCTGGGAAACTATGTACTCCGCCAAGAAGATGTGAAATTGCTCACGGCTAAGCAACTCCTACTATTCATTGAAGACATAGGGCTTAGCAGTGAACTATAGCCATAGCAGCGATCACAATAGATCTTTTAGGTTGCAGTGATACTGGTCTCTTTATCTAGACCTGCATAGCTGCTCGCACATAATAAAAAATATATACTGACTGTTTAGTTTAGTTTAGAAGAGATTAGGAAACTTACTTGCATACCATACGTAACAATGCTAACATTGGGATGCTCTGGTGAGAGATTCAGCTCTAACACATCACAGGACCGCTCCAGATCAACTAGAAGACCGAGGAAAGCCGGCGCCTTAACAACTAGCTTTGCGACCTCTTCAGCATCTTCATCTCGAAGATCCAGGAGCGAATCAGCCGTTTGAGTTGATATCTCACAGTCTGTCATGACGTTATGCACCGATTGTGGCTGTAAACTAAAAGAAAATACTTTCCACTTCATCATTCTTCATAAGTCTGGGTTAAAATGATTCGTCTTAACGGTCAAGCTTGTCAGACTTATCGTCGCAGCGAGAATACATCATCCCACTACGTCTCGCAGGTGTCGTAAGAAGTGGCTATGAGAATTGTCAGAAAGAGAATTTAAAAAAAAAATAATCTGGAGGTAGCCGTGATTAACTATGACATAGAGACGTCTAACACCTCAGTCCGCCCTGTGACCATGGGTGCGGTTAAGTGCTTGAAACGTCGGGAATATAAAATTAGTTAATATACGCGAAAAAATCCGTAAAAACCAGTTTTATTCAAATGTGTTCACATAAATATAAGAAATTATTATGTCAGAAATAGCTTTTTTTTATATGATAGGGTGACAAACAAGCACACAGTCCACCTGATGGTAAGTGATTGATGTGGCCCATAGATATCTATCCTCGATTACGAATCAAAATTCAGATGCGTTGTCACCCATGAGGACTAAGGAATGCCTCGTTTCCATAAAAAAGGGTCTCCGGTTCTCTACACTCACCATACCAAACACAGCAGCATTAAGCTACTATTTTACGCTGGTATTCTGTGAGAGCTTACTTACCTATGGCTTCCGATAGATGGCGCTGAACTATCTCGTCTTTACCCGAACTATATATTTTGTAGAATTACATATTGTTCTGAATTCACTCCGAATTTTTAATAGAATAAATATAAAATGTATTAATAACTCAACCATAACGCCACCTATCGTAACCAAGTTCAGCAATAAAACAACGTATTATATTGTGAATATATCTATATATATATAAATGAATTGCTTGAAATGTTCGTGGAGGTCTAGGGAAGGTTTAAAAGGCGAGAAAAAATCGAATAATTTCCGGGAAAACCCTAAAAACAGCCCTTTTCTATTTCCCATACAAACGTTTTCTAGAGTCAATTTGAACTTTATTGCTATTCAATAAAGTTCATATTAAATTATAATCACTCACTGTTGTCTAAGCAATTTAGGTGTGTTCCTAACGTCAAAGATTCAATTTGCAATTTATTACCGCTGCATAGAGTTCAAATTCAATCATATCTATGAAAATAGTCTTCGCGTGCGCTTTGGAGGATCTAATGTCGCGTTCCGAAAATAAACAAAAGTGAATCGCAAACGCGACAAAAAATAGTATTATTATTAGTAGTACTGATTTCCAATTAATTTGGTCGGCTTCGCGAAACTTAATTTTAGCTAACTTCAGTTGTAACTGTATCAGATTATTTTTTTAAGTTTGATAAATCTTATGTTTTGTCACAAATTAAGTTTCTGAACACAACCATAATATTTGACATTAGATTTGACAACCAACTAATATGTCAATCATTCTGTCGCACTTCAGAACACGGAGATTTATGGCTAGATAAACTCAAAAAAATAAATAAAAAAATCAGAACACGGAAAAAAGTATTACGATTGACGATATTGTGTTACGTTCATGGTTACGATATACTATGAGTGCATCCTTCTATCTTTGTGAGTGGCGATTACCTCTACGTACGCGAGAACTTTCTTTACTTTTGTTGATATTTTGTGATAGTGACACTTTACTGTCAAGTGAGCGAGAAATTTTCTCACTTTGATTAATTACGTTACGATGCCGAGGAGAAGACGACCTGACTTAGGTCGTCGCAGTCAATCAAATCTGCGAAGAGCTACCTCACGTGCTAACCGCACTGATGACCAGAGACAGACAGATCAAGAAAATAGTCGTATTGCTATGTCAGAATTGCGTTATTTAGCGAGTGGCAATGAAGTGGATAGGCTTAGAATGCAACAAGTTCGTGCACATCAAACACAACAACAGCGAGCTCGACATAATGAAATTGAGCGAATCCGTAGACGCAGTGCTGCTGTGATTCTTGAACGAGCTGCATTCCACTATGATCCGGCAATTGATTATTGTGCCGACAAATCGGTAACAATTGGGGAAATGAAAATAATTTGTAAATATTGTAAGGCGTTAAAATACACTGGTGAATCTACTGGATTATGTTGTGCTGGAGGCAAAGTAAAATTACCACAATTGGTCCCACCACCAGATCCTTTACGCTCTTTAGTTTCTGGGATTGGAAATGATTCTAAGCACTTCTTGGCCAACATTCAGAAATATAACAACTGTTTCCAGATGACATCATTTGGCGCTACACATATTATACAGGACAATTTCATGCCCACTTTCAAGGTATTAATCCAGAATATTTTTTTTATAATATTCAAGTTTGTACTAAAATATATATACAGCCTGTAATGAAAGGGGGTATCAACCCTCAAGGAGGTGAATGTGCTCATGAAACTCAACAACTTTCCCCAAAGAACATAGGTCGAAATATGAAAAAAAAATTTGGCCCTCCCATAGTAAATCAATCAGCTGGTAGTCAGTTTTGTAAGGGAGGGCCAAATTTTTGTTCTCTTTATTTGTTTTGTCAAATGTTCTTTGGGGAAAGTTTTTGAGTTTCATGAGCACATTCACCTCATTAAAGGTTGATACGCCCCTTCTGTTACACACTGTATATATGAAATAATTAATGGACAAAATTTAAAATATTACAGATACAAGGACAAATTTATCACTTAGTGGGGGCACTGTTACCACTACCTGATGCAGATCATCAATTTTTACAAATTTATTTTATGGGCAATTCAGATGCGGAAGTTGATAATCGTTGTGCTCACAATCCAACAGTGAAGAGAACCATTGTCCAAGAATTACAAATGTTTCTTCATCAGAATAATAATTTAGTAAACATGTTCAAAATAGCATTGGATCGGATGCCATCTGATAGCCATAATATTATCATTCGAGCTGACAAAACACCTGCCGGTGAACACACAAGGAGGTTTAATTCACCTACCATTGATGAAGTGGCTGTTGTCATGGTGGGAGAAAATTTACAATCTAGAGATATTGTGCTTCATCATCGGAATAGTGATTTAAAACGTGTATCTGAAACACACAGGAGCTATGATGGATTACAATATCCTTTGATCTTCTGGCAGGGGGAAGATGGATACCATTTTAATATCAAAATGGTAAATCAAGTAACAGGTAAATAAATTGAGCAGGATTAAATAATATTTTTAAATTCAATTCATCTCATCAAGTAACATTTATCATTTTTGATTCCAGGTGCTGAAACCAACAAAAAAGTTAGTGCTATGAATTTCTATTCATACAGACTCATGATCCGTCAAGGTGAAATAAATCATATTTTGATGTGTCAACGACTTTTTCATCAGTTTGCAGTTGACATGTATGTCAAAATTGAGACTGAACGATTAACATTCATTCGTTTGAACCAACGACAGCTACGATCAGAGGAATACATTCATCTCCGCGATGCTATAAATGCCGATGGCAATGTGAATAATGTAGGAAGAATGACAACTTTGCCAGCCACTTATATAGGAAGCCCACGCCACATGCACGAATATGTCATATGTTAGGCATTATGGCCGCCCAGATTTATTTGTTACATTCACTTGTAACCCAAATTGGACCGAAATAAAGAGGGAATTGCTACATAGCCAAACACCAGTTGTTAGACATGACATAATTGCCAGAGTTTTTAAACAAAAATTAAAATCTCTGATGAATTTCTTAATAAAGCATTGTGTGTATGGCAGAGTCCGTTGTTGGATGTACTCTGTAGAATGGCAAAAGCGTGGATTGCCACATGCGCACATTTTACTCTGGTTAGTGGACAAAATAAGGCCAAATGAGATTGATTCCATAATTTCAGCTGAAATTCCAGATGAAACAGTTGACACAAAATTGCATGCAGTAGTTACCAAACACATGATACATGGACCTTGCGGACTTTTCAACTACAATTCATCCTGTATGGTCGACGGCAAGTGTTCCAAGCGATACCGAAAAGACCTGCTTGCTGAAACCATAACGGGAAATGATGGATACCCATTGTATCGTCGGCGATCAGTTGCGGACAATGGGCAATTGGTAGTTGTGAAGGTAAGAGGACAAAATGTTGATGTAGACAATCGTTGGATTGTGCCATACTCGCCAATATTGTCCAAAGATTTTGAGACTCACATCAATGTGGAATATTGTAACTCTGTAAAGTCGATAAAGTACATATGTAAATATGTTAACAAAGGCAGCGATATGGCTGTCTTCGCTGTAACCAATGCAAATGATGAAATATCACAGTACCAGATGGGGCGCTATGTAAGTAGCAACGAAGCAATTTGGCGTATATTTTCATTTGCGATCCATGAAAGATACCCTACAGTAGTCCATTTGGCGGTCCATTTAGAAAATGGTCAACGAGTTTATTTTAATGAATCGAACGCGGCAGACAGAGCGGCACGTCCACCATCGACAACATTAACAAGTTTCTTCACAGTCTGTCAAACTGATGATTTTGCTCGCACTTTGCTGTATGCTGACATGCCACGCTATTACATATGGAATGCATCATCGAAATCGTTTCAGCGTCGAAAACAAGGAACACCAGTTGAAGGACATCCAAATGTATTTGCTTCAGACGCTCTGGGTCGCATCTACACAGTACATCCAAATAACGATGAATGTTATTATTTGCGATTGTTGTTGGTGAATGTTCGTGGTCCGACATCGTTCAAACAACTGAGGACAGTTAATGGACAGCTGTGTGCGACTTACCGTGAGGCATGCCAACTATTACATTTACTTGAGAACGATTCGCACTGGGATGATACGCTCAAGGATTCCGTAATATCTTCATCGCTGTATCAAATTTGTACATTGTTTGCGATTATCATATCGACATGTTTCCCCTCGAATCCAAAAGATTTGTGGGTTAAGTATAGAGATGACATGTCTGAAGATGTTTTGCATCGTGTGCGCCGTGAAACTTTGAATCCTACACTACAAGTGACTGAAGAAATGTACAATGAGACATTGATCATGATAGAAGATATGTGTTTATTGATAGCAAATAAAGTATTGTCGTGTTTGGGAATGACAGCACCCAATCGTCATATGCACGATGCATTAAATCACGAGTTGCAAAGGGAACAACAGTACGACATTGAAGCATTGGCCGAAACAGTTCGTACAAATGTTCCACAATTAAATCAACAACAAAGAATTGCGTACGACACTTTGATAGAAGCTGTGAACAGTGGATCTGGTGGAATTTATTTTCTTGATGCTCCCGGAGGAACCGGAAAAACATAATTAATTTCATTGCTTTTGGCGAGGCTCAGATCGCGAAATGATGTTGTTCTAGCGTTGGCTTCATCTGGAATAGCTGCGACTCTGCTAGAAGGCGGACGAACTGCGCATTCTGCCTTGAAATTACCATTAAACATGCAAATCACCGAAACACCAATTTGCAACATCGCCAAAAATAGCGCAATGGCCAAGATCCTACAGGTATGCAAATTAATTGTTTGGGATGAATGCACAATGGCCCATAAGAGGTCACTGGAGGCGCTGGACAGAATATTGAAAGATCTTCGTGACAACCAAAATATTTTTGGTGGGGCCATTATTCTGTTGTCAGGTGATTTTCGTCAGACTCTTCCAGTTATTCCCCGATCAACTGTTGCTGATGAACTAAATGCATGCCTAAAATCATCGAATTTGTGGCAGTATGTAAAGACACTCCAATTAACAACTAACATGCGAGTATTTTTGCAACATGATGAAACTGCAAATGTGTTTGTGAAGCAGTTGTTAGATATTGAAAATAATAAAGTTGCAATGGACACCTCGACCGGATTCATCACATTACCCACAGATTTCTGTCACATCACAGATTCAAAAGAGGAGCTTATTCAGCGTGTTTTCCCAGATATAGCGCAAAAGTTCAATAACCATAATTGGCTGGGTGAACGAGCAATATTGGCAGCGAAAAATAAAGATGTCGAGGATCTCAATGCGACCATTCAGAATTTTCTTCCAGGACAGTTGGTTTCCTTCAAATCAGTCGACACCGTTATGAACCAGGATGACGTAGTCAACTATCCCACGGAGTTTTTAAATTCACTGGAATTGCCTGGATTACCACCTCACAATTTGCAGTTAAAAGTAGGATCAGTTGTCATCATGCTGCGTAACATTAATCAACCTCGACTATGCAATGGAACAAGAGTGGCTGTGAAAAAGCTGATGAATAACGTTATTGAGGCAACAATCATAAAAGGAAAATACAAAGGTGAGGATGTCTTGATCCCGCGAATACCGATGATTCCAACGGATTTACCATTCGATTTTAAACGCTTACAATTTCCAGTACGTCTGGCCTTTGCGATGACAATAAATAAATCGCAAGGACAGTCTTTAGAAGTTTGCGGAATCAACTTGGAGTTTCCCTGTTTCACGCATGGACAATTATACGTCGCGTGTTCGCGCGTCGGAAAACCATCTTCTTTGTTTATTTACGCACCACAAAACAAAACAAAAAATATAGTTTATGAGCAAGCTTTAAATTGATTAACAAACTGTATCATAACAGTGTGTGTCTGTAAAAAAAATTTAAACCTTATAAATAGCCAGTATTTCAGGAAAACTCTGTTTTTTTTAAGTAAGCAACTTGATGTGTCGAAAATAATAATAAAACTTCATGCTTCATTAAAAAATGCTTAATGATTTCTTATATTTACGCGAACACTACACATGATTAAAACTACTTTTACGGATTTTATCGCGTTTATTTTTACTTTTTATTTTTAATTCCCGACGTTTCGGGCGCTTTCCAGCACCCATGGTCACGGGGGACTGAGATGACTGACGTCCCGATGTCATTGTTAAACCCGGAGTACCTTCAGCTTTTTTTTAACCATAAACATAAACAATAATTAAAAAAGCTGAAGATACTCCGTAGTAGATTTGTAGATGTTTAGCAAATAAAATAACAATTAATTACACTTACACCAAAAGTAAAGGTGATCCTTCACATCTGTAGTACATTTTAAGACTTGATTCTTCACCTGATCCGAATATATTTAAGCATTCAGCTAACACTGCTATACTAATCTGAAATTAAATATTTTTTGTACTGTATCAAAGTGAAGCCTTCTTTTCACCTTCAAACCTTCATTGATAACCTGATTTCTGACTGGAAATTCTATAACCGTTAATCTTAAATACAAATTTACCTAGTATTTAATTTAAAAAAAATATTTATTTAGTTGTCTTTAGTAGTAATCATATGTTGGATTAAATGACTGCTGGTTCAAATTTATTAAAGAAGATTATTTTATGCAGTGCGGTTATTAAAATAAATAGTCCCGCTGGGTTTCTTGCTGGTTCTTCCCAGGACAGAGGTGATTTTTGCGAACCAGTGGTAAATGAAAAAAGTGACTTTCAATAAGTATTGTCTATAATCTACATTGAATAAAAAAGTTTCACAAGGAACATATGAGCGGCGATAACTATTCGCGATACTGCAAATGTTCTAGATTCGGGCCACAGAGAGGACGTGAAGGAATGCATGCGCACTAACCTGGACTTCCGCTGATCTGCCTCGTGTCTTAAGGGCTACAGTCATGATGATTCGGTGCCGGCTTATTTCACACATATAAACTTTACAGATAGTCGCAAAATACAGCATTATTGAAAGTGTCCCTACATTTTATATTTTAGTAAAGTTTAACATCTAAACTACACAAAGGCGGGTACCAGATAGAAGTGGTTCCTTGTGCGTGTCTCACACGGTCTGATAATACAATAGTGTGCATGCTAAAAAGCATAAAGGGGGTTAGATAGGAAATCCAGAATTGGACTTTTTGCAGTACTCTTATTGGATAAAAATAAATGAATTACTAAGAGTTGGGCGGTAGTGCAAATGTGGCACGAACATATCAAATCAATAAAATATGTTAAATTACTACGTGGTAGAGCCATACTTATATGTGGTGGAGCAATGCTGTATTTGTATTAGTAGTATAGTTGTAGCACGAATGGGTTGGCTCGACCGGGGAAGGACCACACTCTCACAGAATACCAGCGTAAAATAGTAGCTTAACGCTGCTGTGTATCATATGGTGAGTTTTTTTTAAGTGTAGAGAACCGGAAACCCTTTTTACTGGAAACGAGGCATTCCATTTTAGTCCTCACGGGTGACAACGCATCTTTTTCAACGCATTTTGATGTCTATGGGTCACAGTAATCACTTACTATCAGGTGGACTGTGTGCTCGTTTCTCACTCTATCCTATAAAAAAAAAATTATTCACCCATATAAACTATGCTCATGCCTCAGTTTAGCTTTTGTACTTAATTTAGTGATTATTTCAAAATCTATGTAATTGTAAACGCTAAATTATTGTATTTGTCTAATTGTGTACTACTTAGTGCCTAATTTTTTTTCATAAATGCTTGTATTTGCCATTGATTGCTATTAGAATGCTCTGGGTCTTCTCTGGTATTGTTTAGTTTTTTCATGGGACACATTCAAGCATTGCAAATATATGAATGGAGTACTACATGTATTAAAACATGGAATTCGAAAATTCAAGGGAATTTCAAATACGAGTTCAAGTTCTTTTCAGTTCTATTGCTGACATAAACAAGCTTGAAAAATCAAACTATCAACAGACAATGGCGAATTTTTGTAGACATTTTTTCTTGCATCTATAAATGAAAAATGTGTAAAAATATAGACTTTGAAATCCTGACCAATATTAACAATTTTTTTCTTCCGTCATACTACTATAGGAAGTCAGGAATTAAAGATATTCCAGTTTGTACAAAATTAACATCAGACTAGTCTGTATGGTATAAGAAATTTGCCTGCCTTAATTGGCAAATTGTTACTATGACAACTAGTCAATATAATTTTTAATTATGCTCAAAAAAGTAATTACTAACATAGAGTGAATCCTAAAATAACGCATTAGTATATTGAGAAGCCTTTGGTAAAAAAATACACACAGACTTTGGGCCTTTTGCATGTCTAGTTTTAAATTATGTATGATGAATTTTTTCCAGACTTCAATATGCCATCAGCTTGATTAGATAATACATAGTAAGCTAAAGCTGACCAGCCGTACCAGCTTTAATACCCAAAGGCCGTGGTAGCTCAGATGGTTAACGCTCGCTGTAAATATAACAGAATGCAAGTAACCCGGGTTACCCGGGTTCCATCCCCGCCGGCACCAATGAAATTGTTTAGTTGCAATTTTAAGTGCTGATTTACCACGTGCTCGGCGGTGAAGGAAAAAATTGTGAGGAAACCTGCATGTCTGAGGAATAAGAAAAAAAAAATATTACGAAGACATGTGAAGTTTGCCAACACGCATTGGGGCAGCGCGGCAAACACTTCCTTGCCCTGAAACCCTCTCAGAAATGAGAGGAGGCCTGTGCCCAGCAGTGGGACGTATATAGGCTGGAACTTTACCCAGGTGTCAACAAAATACAACCTGGGATTGAAAAACTAATCTAAATTCAATATTTTATAGACTATAATATTAAACTATCTTTTCTTTTATTCGACCTATTTTGTGATTAACTAACAAAAAATAGTGTCCAGATTCTAGACACAAAACCAAACAAAAAACTACAATGGGCCACTGATCTACTTACCACCAAGTGGACTGTGTGATTGTTTGTCATCCTTATTCTATAAAAAACACATAGTTATTGTAGTTTTCATGTGTCAATTTCTCTGACATCTGTGACTGAATCATAAGGGCTATTATTTTTTGAGATATGTGGGTGTCGAAGCGCCTATTAATGAAGAGTAGCAAAAGCTTGTGGCAGCTTCAAATATTCAAAGTGACGTCCATCGGTGACAGGATTAAATCCGATAATATAATTATAGCACTCTTTTAACATGGCATACAAACAATAACAGTCTTATCAAAGTAACTAATTAAAATAATTAGTAATAGACTAATTATTTTTATTTATATTATATTGTTTCATCATCATTATAGCCCTTCACAAGTCCACTGCTGAACATAGGCCACCCCCATGAAATGCCACAAAGCACGGTCCTGAGCCACCTGCATCTATCGACTTCCTGCGTGTCTTACCAGGTCGTCACTCCATCTAGTGGGGGGTCGCCCTACACTACGCCTACCGGTACGAGGCTGCCACTCGAGAACCTTTCTTCCCCATCGGTTATCGGTTCTTCGAGCTATATGGCCGGCCCATTGCCACTTCAGCTTACTAATCCGTTCGGCTATGTCGGTCACTCTGGTTCTACTGCGGATATCCTCATTTCTGAGTCTATCACGCAGAGAAACTCCGAGCATAGCCCTCTCCATAGCTCGCTGAGCGACCTTGAGCGTCCTCATACGGCCAGCGGTGAAGGACCACGTCTCTGATCCGTAAGTCATCACTGGCAACACGCACTGGTTGTACACTTTAGTTTTCAGAGATTGAGGTATACCTGACGTGAAGATGTGTCGTAATTTCCCGAACGCTGCCCAGCCGAGTTGAATCCGTCGATTGACCTCTCGGTCGAAGTTGGACTTACCTAGTCGGACTATTTGTCCCAGGTAAACGTACTCGTCAACAACTTCGAGCATAGTGCTCCCAACAACTACCGGCATAGGTGTGACATGGACATTAAACATGATCTTTGTTTTGTCCATGTTCATTTTAAGACCTATCCGTTGGGAGACACCATTGAGGTCATTGAGCATTTGCATTGCTAAGGTCCTCCAGCGATTCTGCCATAAGGACTATATCGTCGGCAAATCGAAGGTGAGTGATGTACTCGCCATTGATGTTAATACCGTATCCTTTCCTCCAGTAGCTTGAAAACGTCTTCCAACGCAGCGGTGAAGAGTTTCGAGAATATAACGTCACCCTGTCTTACACCTCTCTGCAGTTGGATACGCTTCGAACTCTGGTTCTGTACTCGGATAGCCATCGTAGCCCTACTGTACAAACACTTCAGCACTTCGATATACCGACAGTCAACTTGGCACCGCTGAAGGGACTGTAGCACCGCCCAAATTTCGACGGAATCAAAGGCTTTCTCATAGTCCACATACGCCAGGCAAAGTGGCGGATTGTACTCCTCGGTCTTCTGTACAGGTATGTATGTGGTCTATGGTACTGAAGCCTTTTCGGAAACCGGCTTGTTCGGGAGGCTGGAAATCGTCGAGTCTGCGTGCGAGACGATTCGTAATGACTCTCGAAAACAGCACGTAGACGCGGCTCAGAAGGGAAATCGGTCTGTAGTTCTTCAAGAGAGCGTTGTCGCCTTTCTTAAAGAACAAGACCACCGCACTTCTGCTCCACGCCTCCGGAGTAATGCCACCATGGAGGACGGAATTGAAGAGCTTCTGAAGGACTTCAAGTACCGGTGTTCCACCCGCTTTCAGAAGCTCCGCTGTAATTCCATCCTCGCCTGGGGCCCTGCCGTTTTTAAGGTGCTGGAGAGCCTTTCTAATCTCGCTCATACTGACGTCCGGGATATCATCGGAATAGTGTCGGGTAAGACTTGCTCTTGGATCGTTACTCACACTTGCGTGTGGCTCCAACGATGATGTGTACAGCTGCCCATAGAACCTCTCAATCTCACTCAAAATCTCAGGTGTCTCGGAAACGATGCTGCCACACTCAGTCTTCAGCTTTGACAGTTGGCTCTTTCTGGCAGACAGATCTCTGGCAAAGACTTTGGAGCCCTGGTTCCGCTCGATCGCTTCTTTAATACGAGCAGTATTAAAGTTGCGAAAGTCTCGCCGCATGCATTTGGAGATCTGTCTGTTCAGTTGCCTGTATGCTGTCAAATCTGTTGACGATTGCAGCCTCATCTCCCGTCTAACAGCCATGAGATTAAGAGTGTGATCGGAGAGTTTTTGTGTTCTTCTGCGGCGGGTCTTGCAGAACTTAGCTCCGACCGCATGGACAGTTTCCACGAGCTTGTCATTCATATCGTCCACTGCATTGCAATCTTCTAGGCACTGAAAGCGGTTACGTAACTCGAGCTGAAAAGATTCGGGATTCTGGATTAGAGCACGAGGGGGACGGAGCGTTGACTGCATTAGACGAGACCTCTACAACTTAACGTTTAGGTTCCGTGTGCCTCTAACCATTCGGTGATCTGGGTTTTCACCCTTGCGATCACTGAGACATACTTGGCGTCTGGTCGTCATAATGAAGTCAATCTCATTTTTTGTCGAACCGTCGGGGCTCGACCAGGACCACTTCCTGTGGGGCCGCTTCTGGAAGAAAGAGTTCATCATAAAGAGTCCCTCTTTCTTCATAAAGTCAGCCAGCTGCTGGCCCCTACGGTTCCGTTGCCCTACTCCAAAATTCCCTAACTTCAGCTCACCGCCTTCTCTTGTGCCTAGTTTTGCGTTGAAGTCTCCCATCAACACCGTGTAGTGGGTTTTGAAGGAGTGCATGGCTTTAGAAATATCCTCATACATTTCCTCCACCTCCTCATCGGTATGTGCCGAGGTTGGTGCGTAGACCTGTATGACCTTCAGCGAATACCGTTTGGTGATTCTGAGTATCAGGTACGCGACCCTCGTCGACACACTCCCAATCTTTACAATGTTGTTGACGAGAGACTTGTGGACGGAAAATCAGACACCTCCTTGGGACAGATGGTCGCCGTCCCGGTGATAGAACAAGTTGCCGGACTCGAGGATTGCCGTGTCCTCCCCCTCTCTTCGGACCTCAGATAATCCAATAATATGCCAGCGCAACTTGTCTACCTCTTCTTCCAGCTCCATTATCTTCTCGTCAGTCCTCAGGGTGCGTGCGTTATACGTTGCCAGGTCGAGTCATCGTAGGTGGCAACCGAACCTCCACCGGAGATTCTTAGCACCCCCTGCCCCGCCGTTACCATGGTCGCCACCGTAGCCAGGAATAGCGGGGCCGCCGGGGACTGGGGGCCGTTTATTTGCGTCGTTGCTCATGTCAAGTATCCCCCATATTTGCCATAGTTGCCACGCTTGGCGAGCGGGTTGGCAACCGCAGTTTTTTATTGTCATAGTTAATATATTGTTTATTTGCCACCAAATTTTTATTAAAGGCAGTGAGCTTTATTATGGAATTGCAGAAATTAATTATTGTAGGTGGCAGAAGTGGTTTTCTGCTGAGAAGTCCATGTGGGTGGATACCACACTATTACCTATTTTTGTCACCAAATAAAACTGCTTACATTGTTACACTTTTATGGTATAGAGAGCCAGTGTAATTACAGGCTGTGAAAAGGACTGTGTGCATTTTCCACCTCAATGGACTAGGTGACAATGCATCCATAACCTTCTTTATTTGAAGTTGGCAAGAGGTGTCCAAGTATCTACTAGTAGTACTACTAGAGGGACTACAGTAACCTCTTTTTTTATGGAAGAAAAACTAACTCACAGTCCACCTAATGGTAAGTGGATGCTGTGGCCCATAGACATCTACATCTAGCCTCGATTAAGAATCCAAAGGCAGATGCGTTGTCAACCCTGAGAACTAAGATGGAATTCCTTATTTCGAACAAAAAAGGGTCTGACGATCTCTACACTCAGCATATGAAACACAGCAGCATTAAGCTACTATTTTACGTTGCTATTCTGTGAGAGTGTAGTCCTTCCCCGGTCGAGCAACCCATTCGTGCTACAACTATAATATAGCTGCAGCATAGCTCTACTACCTCTACCACTTACCATCAGATGGACTGTGAAATCATATGCAACTTCAGTTTTATATACGGTGTTAAAGAAAAACCAGAAAAGTTTTGAAATGTTGCTACTACTTAGTAAAATAAATTGCTCATGATATATATACTCAACCTCAACCTCGACTCGACTTACTGAGTAGTGGTGGTGTAAGAATATCTACTAACTACTGGGTGTCATAAGAGGCGTAAGCAGAAAACAAATCAGGAGATGGGCAGCAGTGTCTTCCTAATAATGACTAAAAATAAATTACTGCAGCTGCCAATCCCCCTTGCCAAGTATGGCAACTATGACAAATATCCCCACTATGAGGCAAATTATGGGGGGAGGTCTATGTTCAGCAGTGAACTTTAATAGGCTGTGTAGATGGTAACAGTATCACCTACAATAGTTCTTGTAAGATGTTTTAAAAAGCAACAGAGGTGAAACAGAAAATGGGCAGCACCTCCTTTCAGAAAAAAACTCAAATTAATAATAGCTGTTGTTGCCAATAAAATTTATGTTGCAAATAAACCCCCTATGAGGCAATAAATGGGGTAAGCTTATATTCAGCTATGGACTTTTGATAGGCTGTAGTAGAATACCTAGAATAATTGATGACATCAACAGGTCAAAATGGTGAGGCTAAAATGTAGATTATGATGAATTTTTATAGCAAAACAAACATTAGTACTATTATGGCATTTTAAAAATGGAATTTTTAAAAGTTATAAAAATGGGCCAAATTAAGAGTACCCTTAACCGACGAGCATGTATGCATAGGTATATGGATGTGGAAGAGGTGAGAGAGGTATGTCAGGATCATACTAAATGGAAGTCTGTAGTCTCTGCCTACCCCTCTGGGTGACAGGCGTGAGTGTTTATGTTCATGTATGGCATTTTAAAACAATTATTGAATTATGACATTTTAAAACAATTATTGAATTATGGCATTTTAAAACAATTATTGTTTTAACCCCGTGGCTCTGACAGCGCGCGACATGTTATACTCCCGTTCGCTCGGGACCTTAATGGCGGGAAAATTTGTAAGTTAGAAAATTTTTTGCTATATTGCAAATTTTGCTATATTTTCACTTTGAGACAATATTTATGGATAAAACTTACAGGATTTCTTGTTGAATGTATAAACTATCGAATAAAATTATTTTTGGTTGCTAGAAATTGTAATAAAATACATAAATTACCCTGTATAGCATGGTAGTAGTATATACTTCAATTTTAGTGACAAAATTACTACTAATTTGAATTCTACACTTTTGTTTTTGGAGAAATTTATATGAAAATGTTTGGAAATATGTATATTTTTATGTTTTATATGTTTCCATTCGTTACTCATACCAAAATATTAAAATATTAAAAAATTAAAAAAAAAACAATAATAATATTTTATCTGTGTGACATTTAGAACAATATTTCAAAAATAATTATGTGTGAATTTGAAATAAATACAACGTCAAGTTATTTGAAATATGTAAGAAAACTATTTTTACTTACATTTTACACTAAAAATAAATGAGAATTTGAAAAATAACACATTTATGACCCAACCGCCAAAATGGGTCTTCCAGATTTTGAAGTACTTTTGGCAATTTACTTTTCACTTTTTATACCACAAATTATATATCTACATGTTCACTATATTACAAGGAATATAAAAAAGTATAATACTTTCGTTTTTAAATAAAAGAGCATATCTTTGTCTTTGATACTATTATCTATTGCATATTGTCTTTGGTTTTGTTTTAAAGGAAAAAATAGTTTTTTCATAAGGCAGTACTTCTGATCCGACCTGATCTAATTCGACCCGTACCAGAGCCGACGTAAGGTAGGTATTGTATGATCTGATTAGATCGGTGGCCGAGTCAATGGGTTAAAATGCCATAAATAATTTATGTACTTAAATTGAAAATTTTAAGAACCCCTGAAATAAAAGCAGCTGATGATTTTCAAATGAAAACAATTTTGTCAAAACATGTCTAAGAGACACTGCTAGAAAACCTGCTTTTAAATCAAAAAATTGCACCCAAATTGGTTCACCCGTTTTAGTGCTATGTTGCACAGACAGACACACATAGTGGTCAAACTTATAACACCCCTCTTTTTCGCCAGGTTTAAAACAGTGATTAATTGTCACACAAAATACACACACCTTAAACATGACATCAACTTCATCTCTTACATGATACTCAGTGAAATTATCTGCTGGCACATAAGCTGATGCCTGCACACATTTCCCTTCTTCCACTGTTAACTTCAATCCCTCTGGCATTGCACAGAACACGGCACACTAAAAGATATATTTCAAGTTTTGTGAATGTTAAACATGGAGCAGTCTTAGGTGTCATCCTAATTGGCAATGATCGAAAAGTGAACAATGCAATTTCGTCGTATGAAGGGATTAAACACACATTTCTTTAGTGTTCAAATTGAAGCTTGTAAGTGTCCACACGAGCACAAGAAATGCTTAATAACGATTGTACAATATATTTGATCATTAATGTAATGCAATCAAAGCTACAAATCCATTGGAATGTCCTAAATGGTCACAGCAACGCAAGGGCACCGGTGAGCTGAGTTAGAGATAAGTAGAGACCTAAGAGAGTAAAAAACTTGTGCATCTCAGTAAACAGCCGTTGTTGAAATGGAGCTGTTGCAGTGACGGCATGATGGCATCACGGCGTAATAGACCATCCCACAATCATTTTCATCTTGGAATGAAATTGCATCATTTAATTGTATGGCCAATTAGGACAATGCCGAATATTATACTATTAAGGTATAGGAGTCTTCATCTTTTTTCAGACTATGATTTTCTCCTGCATCATGAAGGTGATTTACTTATATAAATTGCACTAGGACACCATTAATAGGTCATACAAATACTTATTCCATGCAGGATTCAAACCCTTCTCAGTAAATAGGCACCTGGTGTTTTTAAAACTATACATAGTACAAAGTTCGTTTCGTCGTTTCTAAACTATTCTAAAGATCCTTTCATTCAAACTTAAAAAAAGAAAATTATACAAACCTCTTGAAACTGTATTGCCTTCAATAAACTACAAAGTGTTTTTCCTGATTCCATGCAAGCTGTGAAATAGTATTGTGAGGTTCCTTCATCCATTATTCTCTTCTTCCAAATCAAACATAGACTTCACCAACATTAAATACTGATTTTGAGAAATCTCGTGGTTTATAGTTTTACCCAATATTTGTTGTATCCTCGCTGCTAATACATGTTTGCATGTAACTTGTGTTTTTTTCTCTAAAACTTGGTGTTTAAACGCTCGGCATGGGCAGTAGTTGATACGAGGAAACACTCTATAGCATCTGTCGTTTTCACCCTTTATTTCTATTAACTCCCGCGATTTGTCTGTAGTACAATAACTAACAAAAGTTGAATATTTTTCAATTATATCTAATGCTCTTTGCAATATTACACCAAACACCGAATGTAAAGTAAGTAGATCTTCATCTGAAACTGTAAGAGTTAACCATTTATATAATTATAGAAATCAAAGAAATTACAAAAGTTGGACAAATAATTTAACATTGTTTAACATCTGCTGCATTTATTCTCTCTTCGACGTCATTTAAAACATTTTCGGCAATTGCTGGTACTTTAGACAAAACACAATAACTCATGCTCTTAACGTTGAAATATTTGATAAATAACTAGTAAAAAACTAACGTAGAATTATTTATTTCAAGCCACCGGGTAAAATTCGATTTTGAATTTGAAATTTTGAATTTTCTGTATATATTATGCCGGCTGTACACGCTCGTCGAGACACCACGAGACATGCCTAGAGGTGAGCATTATTTAACATAATCGGTTTCAGAAACTGCTTACGAGCTTGATAATCGTATACCCAGTTTCGTGGACAAAATGTAATGATTATTTTACGTACGCAGTTGACACACACCACGACCGGCGCTCGCGTAAGCGTTTCGTTTTGAACAGATTATTATTAAGATGAATATAGGTAGGTACGTAACACGATATACGACTCGCACAACGAGAGTAAAGAGTCCCTTCGGGATAGTTAATGGCTTACACGCAAGATGTGGATCATAAAAATTATGTGATGTGATGGACAATAATACTTAGGCACTTACATATTTTGTGACCATAAAATTGTACAAAAGTACTAATATTGACGATGTCACGCGCATATTATAATTATAACACCTATAAAATGTTATATATTCGTAATCATAATCATAACATAACACAGTTAAACTAATGTTATAATACCTATAACCTGTTAATATTTTTGTAATCATAACCTAACACAAACACAGAACTAACTTTTTTTTTTTTTTTGCGCCCGAAGCAATTAAAGGGCTACCCTGTACGTAGGGAGGCGGAAAATGCATTACGCATACCACGATAGCCGGTCTATCGTGGTTATGGGGGACTCACTGTCCTACCGGGGACCCTAAGTGATACCCCCTAAAAACCGCCTTTGGGGACAGGCAACCGGCTGATTAACCTCTATTGTGCCTTATCATGAGCGACCCTCTTTTGGGAAAAGAGGGCGCAGGCGGCTAAGTGCCGCTGAGGGAGTGCCTACGAAGGCAGATTAATGTCAGATATTACAATAATTTTATTTAATTAGAGTTGGCCTGAGCCGCCAGGAGACAGTTCAGGTCGTTTGAAAGTTTATTAGGCGGGTCCGAGAGAGAGTTTCTCGGCCTGCGGACACGATAGCGAGAGGGGGGTGGGGCTGCATAAGAAGCTGCCTCACGAATTAAATGGTTTGGGTGCGACTCTGAGGCTTTGAAGAAGTTCTCAGAGAGTTTTTTAAGAAATTGTTGAATTGTTGGGAGCTCTAAGTCCCGATGAAGGTCGGCATTACGAACGTACCACGGTGCGTTCGCAGCTCGACGACAGAATAGGTTCTGAACTATTTGGAGTTCATTTAAAATGTTAGGGTTTGCGTGGGCAAAGACGGGGCCCGCGTAGGACATGAGGACAGAACTAACCTACGCTATACTGTATTGTATACAGATGTATGTAGCGTTGCCAGGCGTCCGGATAAAGGCGGACACAGTCAGGCTTTTTGTTTGCGTGTCCGGCCAAATTAGACGGTGTCCAGGCCTGTCCGGCATTTGTCAGGCTTTTTATATTTGACCATTTTTTTTACATTTTTCATGTACTTAAATACATACTACCTATTGCAATTATTGAAACTAATATTGTAATGAATATTGAATGATTAATAATAAAGAACACTGATTCTTTTAATTTAAAATTTTGTAGTAAATGATATAAGGTTAGCATTGTTTTCCTTTAAAAAATATATTATCGTGTTATACTAAGACTGAATAATTAAGGGTGTCCGGCCTTTTTACCAAAATGTCTGGCAAAGCTGGATGGTCTGTTCGGCTTCTCGGTTTAAAGACCTGGCAACCCTAGATGTATGTAGCTCATGGCGGCTGAACACGCTCATCTCGTCACCTGTGCCTCTCATCACGTAAAGGCTCGACGGAGAACACACCATGTACACACTCGTTGTATCATTTGAAGTTTGAACTCCATATGCCCGCTTGCTGCGTTTTGCCTTTGAACTATTATATTTTTTAAACATTTACTAAAAATAAAATTAATAACCCATTGCTAAGAAGGAGATGGTGGATATTTTCTATTAATTTACCGTAACAGTACCATGTACGGTGAATAGAATAGTGTATAGCTTGCGGCTTGCGCCACGAAAGATTGAACAGTGCGGTGCGGTATGACATACGGGGAAGCGAAACCATAGCAACGGACGACGCGCTAGCTCCAAGTAGTGTCTCCCTGCGTCCAGTCCGCGCACATACTTGTGTCGTCTTGCGTACTATCGATATCGAAAGTGTTAGCGACTACCTGTTATACAATATTTTAAAAAAATTATATATATATATATATATATATATATATATATATATATATATATATATATATATATATATATATATATATATAAAGTAAATAATTATTCAATAAACCTGGCACTTAAGACTTAAATATTGATATCGGTATTAAGAGTATGAAATATTTTATGAAATTTGTAAAACTTAGCAGGATCTATTGAAAGATGACTGTAATTATGTAAAGAAAAAGAGAGGTTCAAGTAGTCCCGGAAAAAACACATGTTTCTTCATAAATTTAAGTACATATATATTTTAAATGAAATTAAAAAAAATCAATAATATCATTAAACACTGTATTTAATAAACTTTCTTACAGTGTATTACACTTCTTTATACATTATTATCAAAAAAAAAGTTATTAACAATAAAATCACGTATGTCGTCTTGAGACGAAATTACAAATACAAAATATTTTACCTCTTTAACTAAGTGTACATAATACAGAATATTCTTTAGCAGCAATTAAAACTTAACTATTATATATAAGTACGTTTTCGTAGAGACTTTGATGTGTAGTTATAATGTCGACCTTTGACTTTTTACATATTAAAATGTCATAATAAAGTTTGCATTTTTCTGCTTGATTATACATGTTATACACGTTAAGTAATATCATCATTCGCTCTCGGTTTTCATCGCGATACCTACGAGACCCTTTGACTCGAGCGCAAAAAACCGACACGCTTCCGAGAGCGCACGAGGGACACGAGACGCGACGAGACGCGACGAGAGCACCCTGTACACACTCGTACTCGCCCTGTCTAGACATGGGTCGTAACGTCCTGGACGTAATCGGTTGTACGTAGTTTCGTGGATATGAGTAACTAGTTTCAAAACTGCTTATTTTTGTAATTAGTTACATATGTATACAGTATAGCGTAGGTTAGTTTTGCGTTTGTGTTATGATATAATTACGAAAATATTAACATATTATAGGTAGGTATTATAATATTAGTTTAACTGTGTTATGTTATGATTACGAATACGTAACAGGTTATAGGTATTATAACATGTGCGCGACATTGTCAATATTAGTACCTTTGTACAATTTTATACAGTCACAAAATATGTAAGTATTTAAGTATTATTGTCCATCACATCACATAATTATTATGATCCACATAATACACAAAAATTAACTTAATACAAAAAAATATTTATTATTTATTTACACCAATTATATGTCTGTTTATGTACACTAAATATTTATATACACTCTAAATGTTTATTCACAAAGAAAACTATACGTGTTATAATATTTATAAAGAAAAACGCGAAGTTTTTAAGAACAATGTTAAATAACGCTCGCCTCTAGGCCTGTCTCGTGGTGTCTCGACGAGCGTGTACAGCCGG